CAGTTTTCGGGCACCGGGCGAGCAGTTTTTGGTACATTTAGCCCTGCTCCGGACAAGCAGAGCTAAATGTACAGCATGGGGCCGCCGCTCGTTTTTATACAAGTGATCTGATCAGATCACTTGTATGAAAGGAGCGGCGGCGATACAAAATACAGCAAGGTGAGCCAGGAGAGAGAGAGAGGAGAGACAGCCAGGAAAGAGAGAGGAGAGACAGCCAGGAAAGAGAGAGGAGAGACAGCCAGGGGAGAGAGAGAGAGAGGAGAGACAGCCAGGGGAGAGAGAGAGAGAGAGGAGAGACAGCCAGGGGAGAGAGAGAGAGAGGAGACAGCCAGGGGAGAGAGAGAGAGAGGAGAGACAGCCAGGGAAGAGAGAGAGAGAGGAGAGACAGCCAGGGAAGAGAGAGAGAGAGGAGAGACAGCCAGGGAAGAGAGAGAGGAGAGACAGCCAGGGAAGAGAGAGAGGAGAGACAGCCAGGGAAGAGAGAGAGGAGAGACAGCCGGGGAGAGAGAGAGAGGAGAGACAGCCAGGGGAGAGAGAGAGGAGAGACAGCCAGGGGAGAGAGAGAGGAGAGACAGCCAGGGGAGAGAGAGAGGAGAGACAGCCAGGGGAGAGAGAGGAGAGACGGCCAGGGGAGAGAGAGAGGAGAGACAGCCTAGAGAGCGAAGAGAGACAGCCAGGAGGATGAGCAAGGAGAGACAGCCAGGAGGATGAGCAAGGAGAGACAGCCAGGAGAGTGAGGGAGGTTTTTTTTTCGTTGGTAGATCTCATGTAGCTCGTCATTTGGAAAGTAGATTTTAACACAAAAAATTGTGGGCACCCCTGGTGTAGAGCAGGGCAAATAATGTCTGTTCTTTGCTCTGCTCTGTGTGATAACTCAGACCGTGGCGCTGTAATTACAGCGCCACCTGTCTCAGCTGTCAGGACCTGCACAGAACATCTGTTCAGTGTTGGAGGGCAGGTTCCATAAAGAGAACCTGTCACCGCCAAACTATCACACAGAGGCTTTTAAGCCCCTATGTGATAGGAATAAAATTAAGTGGGGGGAGTAAAAAATAATACATTTAAATAAATTCAAAAAAATTGTAAAACAGAAAAAAAAATATGTATAAAAATTTGAAAGAATAAAAGTGGTAAAGTAAAAAAAATTAAAACCAACCCCGCTGCACGCGTAGGACATTGTGTGTGTGCGCGCATTGAGTGCTGCCGCCATTCCACTGTGTGCCATATTGTGGTAGCCTGGCAGCAGAACTCTCCTACACACACAATATGCATTAAAGGGTAAGTTCACTTTCCCAGGTTGTATGGGAAAATGGGATTACCCGATCAAATCTGCCCCGTCTCTCCCAAGCCCACCCCCCGCCTGGCTATATTTACCTTTCAGCGAACAGTCCTTACCCTCCGCCAGTTCAGGGGTACTATCTGTACCCCGTACTGCTGTCCAGCAGGGTCCTGCCCTATGCATTTTGAATTTCGCTCACAAATTGCAAGCACTCATTGGTCTCATAGGTGACCATGCTGATCAATGAGAAGCGATATTTAATACAGTTTTGATTAGGGATTCACCAATACAGAGTATTTGGGCAAGTACTTGTACTCGCCCTAATGCTACCATACCTCCCCCAATACTAAAACATCTGGTCAGCGGAAGATTTCTTCTGACCGGCAGTGCCGTAGGGGAACATGGAGCCGGCTTCCCGTGCAATCAGGAAGCGGGGTAGCGACTAATGAATCACCTCCAGGTTCCTGATTGGTTGGGAAGCCAGCTCCTTGCTGATTGGCTGGGAAGCCAGCTTCCTGGCCAATCAGGTCATTACTCGCCGCCCAGTTTTCTGATTTGCCACGAACCTGGCTCGATGCTGATAGGCAGGGAAGCTGGTTTCCCGGCCAATCACAACCAAGCCGACCAAAAAACATGGAGTCGGCTTCCCTGGCAATCAGGAAGCCGGGTAGCATGTCATTAACCGCTGCCCGGCTTCCTGAAGCATGGCACGGGAAGCCGACTCCATGCCAACGGAAGCGCAGATACTATGTATCGGCGAGTACCGAAAGCAAAATATCAGTACTCGTACTCGATACCCAAAAACCAGTATTGGTGCATCCCTAGTTTTGATTAAAACAATTTTTGTGTATTGGGACAAGTAGATTTGGCCCCCCGCTTTAGCCCTTGAAAAAGTATGTTTTTTTTTTAATTTTCACACCCCTGCATACCATACCTCATACTATACCATGACATAAACTCTGTATTGACTTCATATTAGTATTGAAATGCAGTAATCAAAAGCAAATGAAGACAGACACACAATGGTTTCCAGGATCATAATAATATGTCGCAGATCAGCAGAGGATTTTTTGTTCCTGGTTAGATGAGCGTTCTGGTTACTTGAATACCAGATAACTGAGTTTACTATATAAGCTTCTATTAGTTTTCACTCCTATTTCCAATCACAATTATCTCTGTGATATCTACAAGAGAGGAGAAAACACTGCACACAGAAATTAGCAAAACCATTCCAGAGCTCGGGTGAAGGTCATATGAATAGAACATGTGTGCAGGTTTAAAAATATTTTTTTTTTCAAAATTCCCCTTTAAGGCCCAAAACTGCAAACATGTGCAAGAGTGGCCCTAAGCACAACCCAGGCGGGATCAGCTCCAGGCCGAGCTCCAGCTGGACCCGAATTCTCTTTTGTTGTGTAAAACTGGAACAGATTTGCAGCGAGTTTGAGTCTTTTACTTATTATTCCATCTGTCTGTGTGTGCACAATATTAGAATATATACTGTGTGTGTGTATATGTATATATATATATATATATATATATATATATACACACACCCAGAGCTCTTT